GACAAAAGCTCGATGCTATCCGATATCCAGTTAAATTAAAGAGTTCAAGTTTTTCTTTGTTTAACCATGTTTCTGTTAGGCAAATAATATGCAGGTTACGGTTTCGTTCAATAAAATCTTCTAGTAGGTGTACTTTGTTATTTACGCTTTGCATATTTTGGTAGAAAACATTTATGTTTTTATCGAAAGGACTGGTTTTTGTTAAGCCTGGTAGGATTTGTATTATTTCCATTTACTTCGCTGATGATATGGTTAAGTCCGGGTCCAGTAAACTCTTTTCCATCTACTATTAGCTTTCCTTTCCTTATGACACCATTTTGACCCTTTTTCCGGATCTCCATAAGAGCCTGTTTCAGTTCGCGCTTTTGTTTTAGATCCGACTCACTTAGGTAGTCGGAAATGCCCAAACCAACCTCTCTAAAGTATGCTGCATTACGTAATATATATTTCCTTAGTCTTTTATTTGATAATTCTATCCTTATTGGTCTAATATTCTTTCCTCTATGCCCTATGAAATTTACTTCTTCGATGTATGGGGGTAAATGTATATTTAGTACATCTTTAAAAATGTATGAAATTCGATCTACTAAATCATCCTCCGTTTCGCGATATTCAGAAGATAATCCATGCAAGACAATATATTTTTCGAATTTCATGTCAGTCGTGGTATCTAGGGATTTTGAACTATGTAACTTTTCTTGAAATTCATTATAATTTTTTTGCAATTTTGAACATTCATTTTGCAGGCTTTTGATTTTTTGTTCAAGGGTTAAAATATTTTCTTCGGTTTTAGTCTGTCTGCATTTCAAGTATTCAAAGTTTTGTATAAAGTCTTGTCTTAGGTTTTTTATAGCTGATTCAATTTCCCTCTGAATAGTATTTTGTATTGCTTGTAAGATAGATTTATTATTTTGCTGTAGATTTTTTTGTATAGATATATTTATTTGCTCTAGAGTTGCCAAGTTTGGTGAGGAAATGCTGTTTATTGGAGTATTTTGCGTTGGGTGTTCTAAAAAGGTATCCCCTTCAAGGGAAGTATTTGAATCGTCGGCTACTGGCGATATCGCTTGGCGTCTTCGTTGGCTTTTTCTATTTAAATTCAGATCGCAATTTATTTCATCGTAATTTTGCCGAACAGGGGTGTTTGAGTTATTTGTCTTTGCAACTTTTGAGCAACATAAGGGACATTTCCAAGACAATTTGTGATCCGGCGTCATTGTATTTATAAATCTTACCAAAGGTACATTTGCACATTGAATATCATAACTTTGTGTGCATAAACAACATGATAAGTAGTATCTATCAGGTATTTTCTGACAACATCCTGCACATATTTTATCGGAGCTTGCCATCTTGCGAAATTTTTAAGAAACTTGATTATTGATTGTTAAGAGTGAAGCAAACACTGAAGGTTCGAGTAGCAGTTTGGTATGGAAGAAGAAACAGATGGCGTTTATTGTGATTTTTTGTGAGTAAAACACAAACAGTAATAATGTAATTTATGGATGTAATTTAAATGAAGAACTTATACGTGGTGCTCAATCATTATATCGTTGGTGGTGCAGACAAAAATGGAAACATCAATTAATAGACAGTCGTTCAACTTGATTTGAACTGGCGACCCGCGGAGTTTGCAAAGCCGCTGCCGCGCTGCTTAAACCTTGCGGCCACGCAGCGGATATTTGTAACAGCGAAATTTCCGAATATACTAGGCACAGAGATTTGAATTTTTAAAGTTCGTTATTTTATGATTCATCAAAAAAATTTTAAAACGTATTTTCACTAAATCTTTAATTTTGTCACTAACACTGTTATCATTTATTATTATTCTTCTGTTTAATATACTTGAAATAAGCTTTTTACACTGTTTTTATGGGTCACTGATGATAATTTTAATTTATTGTTTATTTTCACTGTATGGTGGTATTTCCACTGGCCTACATTTCCACATATTTCACACATGAAATATATCAGTATGATTTACTCGCTAAGCAGAACAATTCACTTTTTATATTTATAAATCAATTTTAAATACGACGTCGATGTTTACGTGACGACAGCGCCATCTCGATTTCTCGAGTTATCAATGTAAAAAGAGTAGACCAGGGTCGATAATTTTAAAAATGGTGAAAAGTGAAAAAAATTATAGTAGGATGAAACCCATTAGAAAAGGTAGAGAATATAACAAAAATGAAAGAAAAATAAATTACGGGCGATCTGAGGTCGGGAAGGGGGAGAGGGTGAGTTTTTAAGGGTAAAAAATGGTTAATCTCGATTTCCGGTAAAACTGCAAGTCCTATGAAAAAAAGTTAAATGGCAAAGTTGTAGGTAATAAAAAGATCTACAACTTTTGTATCGACACTTTTTTCACATAACCTCAAAATTTATGTGAAAAATGCGAATAACCGAGTTTTTGGTTTTTGATTTTTATTTTGCAAAAAAAAATTAATTTTTTCACGAAATTTGGTGAAAACTTACCTTTGTATGTCCCAAACATACAGTAATTTTTTTGATTTAAAATATTAATTTTTTCACCTTATTTTGACTTAATATCGAAAAAGCACCCTAATTTTCAATCGAAAATTCTCACGTCAAAATATCTGCTTTTTTAAAAAAGTTGGGGTGTTTTTTGTTTGTTGAAATCTCTACTTTCTGATGGTATAAAAAAAAAATATACACTACTATGATAAATGTTCTCAGAAAATGCAAATTAATAATGAAAAAAACTCGAATCTCGAAACTCGAAATAAAAATAAGTTGTAGATCTTTTTATTACCTACAACTTTGCCATTTAACTTTTTTTCATAGGACTTGCAGTTTTACCGGAAATCGAGATTAACCATTTTTACCCTTAAAAACTCACCCCCTCCCCCTTCCCGACCTCAGATCGCCCGTAATTTATTTTTCCTTTCATTTTTGTTATATTCTCTACCTTTTCTAATGGGTTTCATCCTACTATATTTTTTTTTGTCTCAAAAATTATCGACCCTGGTCTAGAGCGCGAGGCAGGTCGGCAAGGTGAAGAGGCAATAGTCAAAGCACACCTGATAAGCGGTAAGCCCTCTGAACCCTATGCCCTACCACTTATGCCACTTAAAGCCCTGAAACCCTACTTACAAGCAGAAACACAACACTACAAAAATGATGTGGGTTTTTGGAGCTCTAATTCGAGCGGGAAATTCGGAAAAAATGTATCGTGGCCCAGCGAAGTTACATAATTATGCGCATTTATTGATTGCTATTCTTCTGACAAGTTTAAAACAATGCTTATTTTGCCACGACCTTTAAAATCAATCGAAAGTCCTGACGTAATGAGGTCACCTGTCCGATAACCGTCTGTCGGTTGGATAGTAATATTCGCTATTGTGAAAGTACGAAAGAATATACACGAACCGGTTATCAAATTGATGCTTATTTTAGTTCTATTGTTCTTTTAACTACTTATATTACGTTTATTTTGTAATCAAATCTTTTATACATAATAATAGTATTATGTTCGCATCTATTATGGAGTTGATTTTAAGACTTGGACTTTAATTTATATAATTCTATTAAATTCTAATCTTTCTGCAATGATATGGGTACATTGCAACTTATAACAAAATCATCACCAAATATGTAGTTGCTGTAATATAACCACAGGACGGATATTATTTTTACCTAACGTGCGCTATTCCGTTAAGCATATTAATATTTTTTTCTAATGCGCTTTCATCAAGTTTGTTATAGCGACAAAGGTCAATGGAGAAAGAAAAGAACTTAGGATAGCGAGAGAGGGCCAGAATGTCTTACGTCGACATTCTCCATTCCTTTCTTTAATGACACGAGTTATATACGTACATCTAGAGCATTATCCATCAAAATCAGTCTAACGGTTACGGAAGAGTGAACAGAAAGAGAGCCAAAATTATTTTCATTTTTAGGGTTCCGTAGCCAAATGGCAAAAATCGGAACCCTTATAGATTCGTCATGTCCGTCCGTCTGTCCGTCCGTATGTCACAGCCACTTTTTTCCGAAACTAAAAACCATACTTTTGAAACTTGGTAAGTAGATGTATTCTGTGAAGCGCATTAAGATTTTCACACAAAAATAGAAAAAAATAATAAATTTTGGGGGCTCTCATACTTAGAACTGAAACTCAAAATCTTTTTTTCATCAAACCCAGGTATGGGTATCTATGGATAGGTCTTCAAAAATGATATTGAGGTGCTAAAATGTTGCCCCCCCCCCTGTCACTTCTAAAATAAGATAATGATAAAACTAAAAAAAATATATGATGTACATTGCCATGCAAACTTCCACCGAAAATTGGTTTGAATGAGATCTAATAAGTAGATTTTTTTAATACGTTGTAAATTGTAAACCGCTATTTACCTTTTATTCTATCAACTCAAATATAAAAAGAATAAAAAAACGGTTTTCATAAACATAAACGTTATGCATAAACCGTGAACCATTATTTTTCTAATAATAAATCTGTAATAGTTGCCAAAGTAAATAATAATTATAATTCGCGCGGGGCGTGGCTTGATCCGTAGCGGGTACTGAGCGCGCGGGGGGCAGGTCCGACTCGCACTTGGCCGCTTTTAATATAATTAGTACCTATGAATGGATCTTTCTTTGTAATACCTAATGATTGCTAAACAAACAATAGATTTCCTATGTTACTCAATACTTTATTACGTGCTCAAAGCATTGTAGCACGTAATAAGGTATTGATGATAAATTACATTGCTTTGATGAATAGACCTGTATAGTATACATCAATAAAGAAGAGGACACATTCACAATTAAATTTATTTACTATTTTACACTGCCCGTTAATTTACAGTGCGAAGGATCTTTAGGAATGTGGCGAAAATTGGAACTAACGCCTCCGTCTTTGTAAACGATAATTTTGTCTCTCATTTACGTAGACAGTGGGGCCCTCCCTGAACTGTCACTCACGTTCATAAAGATCCTTGTCGCACTGTATGTTTTTTTTATATGAAATCTCTTAGGTACGATGAGAATGGCAACTCTAAAGGCACCGTGGACACACCTCCCCCCGCACCCATCCGCCTGCAGTGGGAACTGGACAAGGAAGAGATCATGACCGGGATCGACGTCTCCTACAACGTCGCAAACAAACTGCTCAACGACGTCGACCTGAGGATCCTTATGTACACCAAATACGGAAAAGGTATTTCGTTGTACTATTTATTATTGAGCTTCGTAACGCTGATGATTAACAATATTCGAAGGACCGACAAAATTGCATTCGCAGCTTAGCCGACAATTGCAGCTTTGTATACTCGATATGCGAAACCATCACTATAAATAATATATATTTTTGAAAAATTATCACGATTCGTCATTACTTACGCATTGTAGGTGATCCTTGTGGCTTTTTGAGTTTACTCGTGTGGTTTTTACAAGATTGAAATCACACAAGACGGCATATTTCTAAAATTTCGTCGGAGCAATTGAACTTGTGACTAGCGCTGTCACGCGGAGTCAAATGGCAGCGGGTTGTCTGACCTTGTGCATTTGTGTGAGTGTAAGTAGTGTACAACAAACGAAATTGTAAGACCTTGCATGCTTCACATCATTTTAGTTTGTTGTTACATCCGTCTTTTTTTCATGTCTGTGCTCTGTAGGTTTTTTTTGTAATTTTGAAAAGGGACAGATTCGAATGCAATCATAAACAAAAGAAGACCACTACGCAACGCTCTTTTTTTGACTGAGACACTAGAATAATTTCGCTATTAACATTCAGGATTCATGAAGACCTGCCGCGTTTCGCCCGACGCCTACATCCAGCTGATCCTGCAGCTGTCGTATTACCGCGACGCGGGCCGATTCTGCCTCACGTACGAGGCATCCATGACCCGAATGTTCCGCGAGGGGCGCACCGAAACCGTCAGGCCCTGCACCATCGAGAGCTCCGACTGGGTCAAGTCGATGGTTGACCCGACGGTTTCGGTAACTATTCACACCTACATGAAAACACGAGATATATCCATTAAAAATTCGACGATATGAAATTAAATGTTCATTTTAATTACCATGAAACACACTTTCTGTATGTTTAACTTGAATAGTTCTAGTTTTATACTTTTTGAAAAAAATCTAATCAGAGTTTTGCGGTAGCCGGTGATCCGATTTCTTTGCTGTCCAGTGTATTATTATATTGTTCAGTGATTTATTGAGAAATAAATAATAGATAAAAGTTTGTTGGTGAAATCTAATTATTCTATTTCTAACAGTGAAATAAAATAAAAAAACACATTTAGCTAAATTTTTGCTTTGTGGTTCAATAGTTGTCTGAAACATGATAAAAAAACATTGTCTTATATTCCTTTTTAAATATGATTGAACATTATGGCATTTGGATGGAATTCGCTTCCGACCTGACCCGATCCGAATAAGTGCCACTGTCCACAGAGGCGGAGCTTCATAGACGCGTATTCTCTGTCGACGGAGCAGCAACGTCGCGCTCGTGTCGGTGCATGCAGGCGTTGCTGCTCAGTCGACAGAGAAACACAGTTTTGTATGTAAGCTGCAAGCAGGCGCACACGCATAGTGCAACGATATTAAACACCCCAGATACACCACGTGCGTTCAAAATTTGTCCCTATCAAGAAGTGCTTGAACACGACTCAAGCACTTGGTTCACAGTCACGCGCGGACCATTGAAAAGTCAACATACCGCTGAGCTCCGTTAATAATTGAGAAATAAATACTTATAATAAATAAATAAATATTACCAACACTCACACCAATTAGCCTAGCCCCAAAGTAAGCACTGTAAGGCTTGTGTTATGGGATACTTGGGTAACGGATAGAATACATATATTGTACATATATAAGTATGTTTATATAGAAATACATATTAAACATCCATGACTGGAGTACAAATGCTCGTATTCATCACACAAACATCTGCCCCCACCGGGATTCGAACCTCTCGAGTCGGCGACACCATGAAACCCGGCGTACATACCACTCGCCCACGGCGGTCGTCTGTAAAATTTCGTTATTATAGTATGTAAAATTTCTTTCAGGTATTCAAAATTTCAGGTATCTGATCAATGTTAGATAATTTAACGCATTTGAAGCAAGTTTTGTTTTAATACTTACTATAAACTAATTTTATAGAAAATATTTGTGATATTCAAATGCATGATCGGTAATATAGCAGTCTCTTTTCCTCGTGGTCCGCACCTGTCCGTATATTGCTAACAGTGCATTCAGAATTGCGCGTAGTGTCAAAGAAATATGGTTTATATTCTTCCGAATATAGCAATAAGTCGTAAAATTTTACGAGCTTACATCTCGGACTGTCATTAAAGATTAAGACCTTATACAGTATGGTTTAAAGGTAATTTTGAATATTAATAATTTTGTTCGTGTTGGTGTATCTAGAGTATTAAATATCGTTGGTATAATGACGAATACGCGTATGAAGCTACACATCCGTGGAGAGTGGCACTAAGTGTGAAATGATGTGTCAGGTGGAGGAGCGTATGCGCCTGTTCGTGAGGGCGAGCCGCCGGCACCAGCTCGGCTACCAGGACGCGATGTCGGGCCGCGGCATCGATCGCCACCTCTTCTGTCTATACGTGGTATCCAAGTACCTGGAGCTGGACTCGCCCTTCCTCCAGGAGGTGTTCAACGAGCCCTGGAGGCTTTCCACCAGCCAGACGCCACACGGTAATACATTCACTCGTCTGGCATCTACCGCCATCTCTTCTGTCTAAACGTGGTTTCCAAGTACCTGGAGCTGGAATGGCCCTTCCTCCAGGAGGTGTTCAACGAGCCCTTGAGGCTGTCCACCAGCCAGACGCCACACGGTAATACATTCACTCGTCCTGCAGCGATCGCCACCTCTTCTGTCTATACGTGGTGTCCAAGTACCCGGAGCTGGACTCGCCCTTCCTCCAGGAGGTGTTCAACGAGCCCTGGAGGTTGTCCACCAGCCAGACGCCGCACGGTAATACATTCACTCGTACGGCATCGATCGCCATCTCTTCTGTCTATACGTGGTGTCCCAGTACCTGGAGCTGGGCTCGCCCTTCCTCCAGGAGGTGTTCAACGAGCCCTGGAGGCTGTCCACCAGCCAGACGCCGCACGGTTATATATTCACTCGTACGGCATCGATCGCCACCTCTTCTGTCTATACGTGGTGTTCAAGTACTTGGAGCTGGACTCGCCCTTTTTCCAGGAGGTATTCAACGAGCCCTGGAGGCTGTCCACCAGCCAGACGCCGCACGGTAATACATTCACTCGTCCGTCATCGATCGCCACCTCTTCTGTCTATACGTGGTGTCCAAGTTCCTGGAGCTGGACTAGCACTTCCTTCAGGAGGTGTTCAACGAGCCCTGGATGCTGTCCATCAGGCAGACGCCGCACGATAATAAATACGCCACTCGTCCTCGAATTCTTACATTTATAGATGCTGTTGATAAAGATTGCGGATCGCGAATTTTCGTGTCAACTCAGAACAAAATGCCAAAATATTGCGATGTTAGATATTATAATTTTAAATTTCTCTTACAGCACGCTACGTTAACACATAAATCAAATAAAATAGCGACATTAAGTCTTAGGATTTGAAATTCAAATGAAGACTTAGTCAAGTATGTTATTGACGTGATAACGTCTTATAAATCGATGAACATCGGGTGCACGCACGAAAAAGTGTGACGTCATGTCACGATTCATGTTATGTCCGCGGAGTTCCCAAATTATAAAAAAAGTTCGCGAGTACTCAACGCATATGATGTGCGGACATTTGCCCCCTGAAAGTTTAGTGAAGCGCACGCTATGAAAGCATTAATCTGAGATAACGTTGTATTGTTGTTCATAACAACTAGCTCCATACAGCGCCCGGGCGTGATGTCATGCGACCGAAAAGCATTTGTCAAGCAAACCCACTATTGTCGCAGCTACCAGAGGAAGGGACGAGATGGCGCTGCTTATCACTATAAAAGCTAATGCACAGGACTTTGAATACTCTTGGCCAGGAATCATCTCCCTCTCGACATACATCTGTCTAATATTAGTCGTATATATATTCAAAATTACTTAACCGCAATTGAGAGAAAATACTATTACTTATTTATTGGAGAAGTCGCTTTATTTCCTTCAAAGAACAAAAATATCAATAGGGATGATGACTTTTTTTTATTAGGTAGATTATCAAAAAGTATTGGACACGTATTTTTTCTTTTTTCACTATAAACATTGCAGAGATATATTGATTTAAAAAGTCGCATGACGTCACGTTTTGGTACACTTTTAAGTGAAAATTCACTCAAAAGTGACGTCACGAGCCCCTACTCCCAAACTTTGACGCGCTATAACTTTGTCATTTTTTTGTTGATTGCCCAAAGAAAAAATACGTGTCCATTATTTTTTGATCATCTAACTGACGGACTTAATAGAATTTCGTTTACTGTACCCCGTCATCAACCCTATTGTAATAAACATGAACTTTAAGAAAAAGAGAAGACGTTCTAAATAAGAACACTGGGTCTATCCCTTCCCTTTCCTTACTGAGATTATTTATTATGCTTTCCCTATAATATGAGTAAAACGAATGTTTCACGATCTTTCTGAAAAATAATTATGTATAGTTTAAGCGTAAAGCGATGCAAATTATGCAAACAACATGTCATGTGTCCGCGGTAGTACGGGGGATTTTTGTCCACGATATTTTTAATTCGTCGTGTGCGTTATTCGATGCAGTTGTAAGCGATCTATTACGGCGGACAAAGGTCCCACCTCTGCGCAGGGCTTATATTGGAACCAATGACCACATGAGTTTATTTCAGAGCGTACACATTACAGTGTGTCCTAGCAGTGTACAAAAGGACAATGTTAAATTTGGCCTAAGAACCAACACCAATTTGGCATTTATGATAATTCTTAGTTTATTTTTTGCGATAATTATCAGTATTTCCAGTTAAGTAAGCTATATTAAAAAGTTAAAAAATAATCTGAGACTACCATTTTATGTGTATAATCTATGGCAGCGCTGCAAACAAAACACTCTTTCTTCCTAATGCCGGCACTTCACTTGACTATTCGTGTTTGCTTTTTGAAAACTTGACATTAGTCTATCCTTTTTATTCCATATTAAGCATTACAAGGATAGTTTTCCAATTACAGAGCATAATGCGACTCAGTGGCGCACAATGCTGAATTATGCTGATGCTTAATTGGAACGTCAATTATTTTTCAAATGCACCAGCAGAGTGAGCTAAGTTCAGTGTTGAAAAAAAAGTCAATGTTTGCACCTTCATCTATACTTATATTTATTTTGTAACACAGTTTAAATTAACTATGATTATTTAAAAAAAAACTACAGTGACACGAAAACTTTCAAAAAAATTCAACATTAAATAATATTACTGACGATATTTAATAAATAAAACATTTTGGTCAATGCCAACTTAAAGAAAAAACACTTGTTAATTTTCTGTCACTGAGTTGGTACGATTGCACGCATCACACGAAAACATTACTTTTGAGAGTACTCGATTGTGCGAAGCGTTGCTGTAGTTAAAACATTCAACGATAGGCATTATGCCGCATAATGCGCTGTAGTGCTTAATTGGAAAACCACCAATGACAGATTGTTGTCAAGTGAAGGGCCGGGTTAAAACTCGATACTCTGTGGTTGTGGTGCAGGCAATTTGCATTCGTAGTAATCTGTGGCATTCGTGGATTCTCGTTTCGGATTTCCTGTTGTGTGTGTTTATTTGCGATTGTTTTTTCTTTAATTTAACTATTTCGGCTATCTAATATGCCAACGATGTTACCAAATAGCAGACCCCTTATTACAAAGTGCTAGAGAACCTGTGCCACAACATCCTGAGAGGATCATACATACTGCCAAGTTATTCAAGAGCAGCTGATACACATTCACGCTGCTTATATATACAATATACATGTGATATACAAATAAAATACAGTATGATACAATTATGTGAAAAATATTTAAAAAATAAGAAGCAAAACTACAGTTTTATTTTATTCATGATTCCTACCTTACCAAGTTTTTCCTAATAGTTATTCTTTAAAATCGCATCGAATAAAAATGAATTAGTTGTAATATTAATTCAATTCATACTAAGTTCATAGGTTGACCTATGTTTCATTTAATATTAAACATAACCTCAAAAAATATTAAGTTTTTCTGATAATTAGTTCTCAGAAGTGTCCGTCAATAATCTTTGTTTTTTTAGTCATTTACTTGCAATTTCGAACCTAGAAATTAATATTTCATGATTGTTGGTTCTTAGGCTAACAATGTATGGACGCAGAACAATGTCCTTTGGTACATTTTATTGAAACATATCTGGCATACATCATGTGTACTAGTATTAATTGTAACAAACAATGACAACATCATTAATGGATACATATATTTATAACTTTTAAATGTATACATCATTTTGGAGTCCACTGTACCATATGACATCCAGTCGCATTGCAGATCACCATCCCATCTTAGTTTCTGTACCTCCCCTTCGCAACAAACGCTTTTCAAATACCTTTATAATGCGTTCAGCGACGGAGTGGAATTGCCTGCCTGCATCTGTTTCGGAGTAGTAATCTGATTGTTTTTAAAACCAGAGTGAATAGGGTCTTCCTGGTTTATCACGTCCCTGTTCTCGAACTTATGTATTCTCAAGAGCAAACTCAGAAATGTTTTTTTTTTTTTGTAAAGGTCAAACCAGTATGATCGACCTGAAGAAGTATCCGAACTGCATCAGCGCTGGCGGCGGCTTTGGCCCCGTGGCCGATGACGGCTATGGCGTCTCCTACATCATCGTCGGAGAGGACACCATCTTCTTCCACGTTTCTAGCAAGAAGAGCTGCCCCATCACGGTAATTTCATCTTGTAATTTATTATTACGTGTCCGAATCGTGGTTGAAATTATATGCCAGTTCACGTTTGACAGGTCTTTATTAACCACACATTTCTTTTTTAAACTCACTGTACACTATACAGCTCTTTAAACAAACACTTAAACTTTGATAGCCTTGTATTCGTTTCGCAATCGCGGAAACTCAACTGAAGTGTAGGATTTTGTAGATAAAAGACTGTATCACATTTTTTAGCATAATTTCTTTCTCACTACTCAAATGTGGAATAAAAAAAAATAAAGTCTTCTTCATTATTTATTTATAATTCCGTATTTGAGTAATTTCAAAAGATTTAGTAAAATTAATTGACTTTCTAATTATAATTATCATTAGGAACTATATGTCGTATTCTTTGAAATTATTGTGTCCTTATTCACTACATAACTCGTCTCGGCATTTGTGTTTTTCTAAATTAGTATGTAAAAATTATAAATTCAATACGATCACTGCGTATAGGATCGCTGAGCGTAAGTTAACATTTACATTTCGTTTTAATCAATCTCTTTATACAGGCAATACTTGCAATATTAGTTAAAATTAGTAAAAAGACAAAGGTTATTAAAAATATCACAAATTGGGACTATGTCATATTAATAACATTTATGGCTCATCGTCGGAAGAAAATTATTGATTTAAGAATCATTTGCACTTTTCTTGATTTTTCGTGATTGAGCGAATGTTATTATAACTAAAAATTTTATAACCCACCATTGCGCACTGGGCCCGCGTGGCGAGTCATGGCGTGTTGAGTCAATGTCCCTATTCTATAAATAAAGGTATCCTACTCACCAGTCTTACGAACCGAAAAGGAACTTTGTACCAATAAAAAAATTAAGGACGCAGATCATGGGGATAGGAAAAAAGTTAAAGACACCATGGGTACCGTTCCGGTACTGACATTGTTTACAAGTCCAATCTTTCTTGGTTTAATTTAATGGATTCTTTTTTACGACGTTTTTTTCAATATTTCTTGTCTCAGAAGACCAGCAACACACCCTCACATACTACTACACTGCACTCATGTTTGCAAATGATACAAGAATTGCTTAAGAAATTATTGTATGTACTGTTTAGACCATGCATGTCATTTATTGCTTCCATTTAATTGTATGCAACAGGCAAGAAACTTGTATCGTGTAAATGGCGCTTAATACTGCTAGGCAACCGTTATTGTTATTGTCAAATATTGAAAACGATCTACGTTTACATTATTTCTTAAATTTTAATATAGTAGCAGAGAAAATAGACAAACAAAATGACTTCAAAAATTGAAGCATTGGTTAAAGACAATTACGACACTTGGTGTCTGCAAGCCAAAGCACTACTACACACACACACACTACTACAAGTTACGGAAATATGTAGTAAATCCTATTGACAGTTCGGAAGAAGAACAAAAATAATTAGACATTATGATAATTAGACTCATTTTTCAATTTCTATTAAGAATACATACTCTACTGACACCTGATTTATAAAAGAACGTGACGGTTCTCTTCAATTGGTATATAAACATTATAATAAGAAATAGATGTTTTATAGCTTGCAATGGATGTTGATGTGAGTTCCGTATGTTTTACGATACCCTAACTTAACACAATTATTTTTAGTTGCACAGCTTTAAATTTTAAACTTTATAGTTTAGATATTTATCACTTTTAAATTATCTATATTTTCCTATTAATTTTCTTTTGGTTTGTCTTATAAATTTTGATATTTTTGTGAAATAGAATAATATATAAAAAAACTCCATACTTTTGATGTTTAATATACATAATATTTAATATTAAATATGTAACGGATTATTTTTTAGGGTTTTCACATAGTATGATTCAGACTTCATGGCGGTTGCGATGATAGCAGCGAGCGCAAATACCAATTCGCAGGTTTCAATTCAGTGACATGAAATACCGTGCACCAATCTCAGAACAAGAACTAAAGCATAGAAAGAGTTTAAATTCAACTCATAAAGACGAACCTCCGTGAAGTTAGCCCCCATCTTTTTAAATTTTATTATTATCTACGTTGTTCTGGGTTGTTCTATGTTTGTTCTACATTGTTCCAAAGTATTATTTGAAAAAACTAAAATTTGAAGCTGCCAGAAAAGAAAAACGGTTTTTCTATGGTAGCCCCCCATGTTTGGAAATTCAATATTTTTTTAGTTGTTCCAAGTTGTTCTAGTTGTTCCTAATATTGTTCCAAAGTATTATTTGAAAAAACTCAAATTTGAAGCTGCCAGAAAAGAAAAACGGTTTTTCTATGGTAGCCCCCCATGTTTGGAAATTCAATATTTTTTTAGTTGTTCCATGTTGTTCTAGTTGTTCCTAACATTGAAATGCAAGCCTTACCATAATGGCAATAAAGGCAATTTTGGCATAAATTATATTTAGTTTTGCGTTTTAGCATCAAATTCATGTCTAAAAATTGTTTACAATGGAAAACGCCGTGGTCATCGCTTTTACAAATGGGACATTTATAATATTTTGTAAAATAGACATTTTTGCTATTGTTGAATGATTGCGAAATATTCCGGCCTTGGATCGGCGGAAACGCTTGCTTCATGTATGAATTGTTATTTATTGGTTTATAACTTTGATACTTTGGACCTGATGATATTGTGGTATTAAAATTATGATTACGGTTGATAGACTTATTTGCAGGTTCCTGCTTACGTTTAGATGTTTCCATAGTGGTAAACTTGTTTTCCAAAAATTCTAAAAATTCGGAAATATTTGGCACATCTCTCGGCTATTTTATTGATGATATGTATTCACTGTGGGTCTCTGTATCCAAGTTTTGACAAAGGATGTAAATTAGTAAGGGATCCCACGAGTCAATCGCTACTCCTAGATTTTTTATAGAATTCAATGCTTCACGTGTCGTATCGTGAATTCTTTTTATATGATTGATAGACTGTTGTTGCATAACTGGCATACTGAATAAAATATCAAAGTGGGAATTCAAAATTAATTTCTTATTGTCGTACCTGTGGGTGAGTATATCCCAACAAGTGATATAATTTTCAGTTGATACTGTCAAATGTTGAATTAGTCGCTCAGCCTCACCATTCATCCGTTATTGTGGATGGTTTCTAGGAAAAGATCCTTAAACGAGGTCCACTGGTGGTAGCTGCCGCTGAACGATGGTAATTCTATCTTAGGCGTCGAATTCTCCCTATGTGATACAGACCATAATTTTCTGTTGATAGACTTAATTATGTTATTGTATTTTCTCTCGAACTAATAATAAGTAGATTCGTATTCCACTTCCCTGCCGCCCAGCTCGCTGTCCAGCTCCCAATGCAGCGAGTCGATCGCCGACCAACGAGCTTGAATGATACGCAATAAATGATCAAACTCCCTTTTTTCTGTTATGCTATCTAAATCTATTTTGGAAATAGTATGCTCGAATGCCTTAAAGTGGCTACTTTGCTTTCTCAACATCTCATCCGTTTTGCTATTAATACCTCGAGAGCGTCTGGTCAGTCTTCTGCTGAGAGCTCGGCATGGTAATGGGTGTAGCTGGCTTGAGAAGTGGGGTTGAAGGTCTGCTGGCCTCATCTCTCGGTTGATAGTTCTGAATAGTGGCCCTTGTGTTCGAAAACCTGTCCCTAGTTATCTCAAACTGCTTCGAAATAAAATACTGGTGAGATGGTATTCCTAGCCCACACAGCTTAATATGATTTGACTGATATTCCTGCCAATATTTATCTAAAGTTTCCAGACGATTTTTTAAATAAGATACAGTTTTCCTATCAGAGCCATCTTCCTTAAAATTGGTATAAACCTGCTCAATGCCAGAGACTATTTGCTCCTGAGTTAAAATTAAATCTTCGGCCGACATCTTGATAGAAAATTGTTGTTAAGAGAGAAAAAATAAAAGATACGTCTTACTTGGATGCTGGTACTCAAACCGTATTTGATGGTTGAACGCCCCTTGTGCCGTTGCGATTTGATGTACGCGGAAGAAAATTCCTTCAGTAACTTTGCTGGATCAGATGCAACAGTCTCCTTGCAACACAGAGTCACGTTTCACTGAATCCACGTATTCACTGAGTCTCGAGAGTCCTTATTCGAAGGACCAAAAAAGATGTACGGTTTGCACACCTTTTTACCCGGCTGCGCAATGCAAGAGCGCGGAGCGCGACGCGCAGACAGGGTTATGTGTTTAACAGTCTATATATGTATGTTTGTTCCTTTGTGGCACACTAGAGACCAAACGCCTGGACCGATTTTGATGATTCATATATCAATCGATTCGTCTCAATCATGGGAGTGCTACTAAAGATATGATAGTAATCAAAATTCAATATGGGCAACATTAGGCGCCATATTGTGACGAAGTAAAAAAAAATAAGTTGACAAAATATGTCGAGTGGGATATCACTGTCTAGATAATCAAAAATCATATTTAGGTTCCTAACACCATTTTTCATTTTATATGATTGTTTAGGATCTACAACGCTTTAAAGTTGTATATTAACCACTTAGGCTTTTAATTTCAATCTTACGTTTGTATGGATCTTTGTTACTCTTTCACCTAAAAAATACTGAATGGATTTTAATGAAACTTAACAGTAATATAGCTCATATATAATAATTACATATATATAATAATTTATGTAGTTATTGAGTGAATTGGCCAATATATATAACAATAAGTGTCACATAAGACGGAAAAACATCTCCCTACTGCGAGCCATTTTGGCCTGCACTGCAAAAACAATAAAAGTTACATGAATGTAATGTAGAGTGAAAATGTATCTCTTAAATAGTTCTAAAAAAAAGTCCGGGACACCATATATCTATTTTTAATGTGTAAGTCATTACCGCTAAAATAGTGAATCAAAACTAAAATATTATTTGATATCTATTTCCAAAATGCACATTTTGTATTAAAAAATCATTTTTTATCCAAACAAATACTTTTATCGCTTTTGATATTTAAAGACGATAAACTTT